CCTACAGTGGAGAGAATCATTTCTCGAAAGTTATCCTCTGACCTATACACAGACAGAAAATTTAAAAATTTTAAGGGCATTTTTTGTAAACCTTCAAACTTGAATCAGAGTATATACTCATGTCTACTCTTCTATTCAAACATATTAATCTGCTCTACGAACTCAGAAAAGGTCAGGCATAGTGACACATGCCTTTTATCCCAGCACTAAGCAAGCAGTAAGTTCAAAACCAACAAGTAAGGCAGGACACAAGTAAGTGCAGACCTTTAATCCTCAGCACTTGGGAAGAAGAGGCAAGAGAATCTGTGAGTCTGAATCTGTCACCCTGGTCTACATAGACAGCCGAGACTAAATACAGAGACCCTGTCACAAAACAACAACAAACCCCATCAGGTCTACATAGCACATTCCAAGTCAACGTGGGCTACATACATAGTGAGACCCCTTCTGAGACTTTTAAAGACAAAATGAGAAAAATAACTAGAGGTAGGGTTCCTATGGCACTGTTAATATTCTGCTTCTTGATTTCAGTGCTGGTCATACTGCATATATATTTTACTTTGATATGAAAAAAGATGCTCTTCCCCCAAAGAAAAACAATATAACTTAACAACTATGCTGAATATGGAAGAGCTATAGACCTTTCTGTCCTAAACAGAAAAAACAATGTCTTCCCTGACCCTGTCTCTCTCACTTGTCTGTCCTAACAAAAGCTGAAGTCCTTCTCAACTTTCCTTTTAACTCCAGCCCAAGAAGCTCTTCCATTCGCATACCCTCCAAACACCCATCCACCACACTCAATTTCTTGCGCCAAGCAATAGAAGCTGCAGTCTTACAGATGTTGGGGAAGCTCTACCACTACCTGAACTGTACTCAGTCCTGACCTAGCACTGCTCACTGTTACCTGCCCCTCTATTTACTACTCTACCATTCTAATAATGTTGTCTTAGAGGAGTTGAGACTAGTATGCTCAGTATGTTCACAGAAAATAAAAATACACTTCACAAAGCAAACATCTGCCAGAGATCAAAGCCTCTCTTTAACAAGTAATACAAAGTATTACAAGTAATAGAAATATAGGTCCAATTTTAATAATTAAAAGTATGCCGAGCCAGGCTGGAGAGTTGGCTCAGTGGTTAAGAGCACTGACTGCTCTTCCAGAGGTCCCGAGTTCAATTCCCAGCAACCACATGGTGGCTCACAACCATCTATAATGGGATCTGATGCCCTCTCCTCATGTGTTTGAAGACAGCTACAGTGTACTCATATACATAAATAAATAATTCTTTTTAAAAAGAAAAGTATACCTAGCCTTACTGAGCCATGATAGTGTAGTACATATTAGCATAAGTAAATCCAAATTCTTAAGCCATGTTTACAGGACAAATAGTTTAACTTCTCTGAACCTCAATTTTCTCATGTGAAAAGTAAGAGAACTAATGCAAAGACCTTAAGCAGATAGGCAGTACTCAAGAGTGGTGGTGCTCGCCTTGACTCCTAGCAAAAGAGGTAGAGGCACCCGGGATCTCTGTGAATTCGACACCAGCCTGGTCCACAAAGTGAGTTCCAGGACAACCAACGCTACAAAGAAATCCTGTCTCAAAAAGAAACCCAAACAAATCATAACAAAATAGAATTAGCAATGACCTATCAACAGTAATAGAAGAGCTATTCTGTAAATGGCAGCAGTAATCATTGGTAGCAATAACACCACAAATACAATAAATTATGGCCTAATCTGTTGATCCTCACAGTCAGAACTTCACTTATATAACATGACTCAAAAACTATTATGTATTTTAGATACATTTTCTATTCTGGGCACATCTGAACCACTCCTTAAAATTCAGTCATATTTTAGAGTATCTAACAAACAAAAGACCAATCTCCAAATAGTACTTTATGAATAATAGACACTGCCTTTTGTGACAGTCAGATGACTCAAAATCCATGGGAGGTCTGTACCCCATGCCCAGTCACACAACTTGACCAGTTTTACCAATTTCCCATAAATCCTTTCACCTGTACTGGCAAATACAGCTCCCCTTCTGACACAAATGTGACTGCCTCTTCACAATATCTGGCTATTCATCTTTCATATTTATGTTAAGAGTTTGTATGTTAAGGGTTTGTATGTTAAGGGTTTAAATAAAGTCAACCTCTTATAATCAGAATTCAATGAACGCAAGCTATCTTTGGATGGATGGCTTTGGTTTTTTTTTTTTGAGACAGAGTTTCCCTGTGTTATCAGCCCTGGTCATCCCAGAACTCCCCCTGTACATCAGAGGAACTCCCCCTGCCTCTTCCCCCTAAAGGTATCCACTACCCCACCCCCCAGCTATTTCTGTTTTTTGAGGCATAATCTCTTTGTATCCCTAGCCATACTGGATGGAACTCAGAGATCTGCCTGGCTCTGCTTCCCCAGTGCTGGGATCAAATGCATGTTTGGACAAGTCAGCTATCTTTACAAAGGCACTTAAAAAAAAAAAAAAAGTCATCAGATCCACCATACGGAATAAACCTTGTACATTGGAGATTTACATAAAGTGACATGGTGGAATGATTACTTGACAACTATTCAACAGCTCATATTTACGCACTTAAAAAGGAAATATACAGACTGCACTGTGGGGTCCTACACTGAGGTGAAAATTAACCAACACAACCTATCTATGGAACTGGATTTACTAAAATGTCAATGAAATAAAATATTGGTGAGGATAAAGCTGTTGGTTGTGGCTTTTCACAATATTAAATTTTATCTGATCTATTTTATTTTGGAAAATAAAATAGTCTTTGCAACTTCCTTCCTTGAAATGTGTTCCCTGCTAGGTTTTTAAATGTGAAAAACGTGTATTCACATTTCTTATTTTCTTCCTGAGAACTATTAACAATTTTTTTTTCATCTTGTACATGAGGATGAGCTTTTTTTTTATTTGCCTGTATGGGTGTAGAGGTCAAAGGAAAAACCCAACCCTGTGGGTCATCAGGCAAGCCGTCTTTACCCATGGAGCCGTCTCCTCAACTAGTCAGTTAAACAGTAGAATAGTAATAATATGCACTACTAGAGCTATCCAGCCATACAAATGCTGATCATCTTCAACTTAAATACCAAATACCATGATGGAAAGTCACACCATACAAAGCAAAGAGAATATATCGATTTTCAGGGCAGTAACTTGACACTTTTAAATAAAAGAAAGCAGTCTAAAGACAACCTTATTATAGAATACATGTTTTAGGTGCTAACAAGATTAGCTGTTAACTTTCATTGAGACTGAAAATATATATGTATATATATACACACACATATATGTATGTATAAATATATATATGTATATAGGCACACACACACACTCCCAAACTAAGTTTGCTTATTAAAGAAAAAGTTTAAATCACCGTTAAAAATATGTGAATACAGTCATTCACACTGTTTCTGTATTGTTCCATGAAAAATACAAAGTCATCCTTCTATTCAGAGTTTTGGCAAATGAATACAGAGCTCAGAGTTCACGCTATGTAAGACGGATCACTACTTACTTCTTAGTATGATCACTAAATCTGCTAATTCTGTCACTTCAATTTTCAGTGACTTTCTACGAGGCCACTTGGAAAGATGGGTAATTATCTGCAAGCTGGGGGCATAAACAAAGCTGGAAAGCTGCAAGACTGATGATAACAAGTCCTCATATGACTAAAATGCCTAATAAAATCATTGTTGACATTATCAAAGCACCAAGCAAGCATAAAAGAAAAACCTGCGAGCCTTGAAAAAAAAAATCATGACTTTGAGAATTTTGTTGTTAAGTCCCATCATAGAAAAGCTGGCATTTTGGTCCATTTAGGTCTAAAAAGTTGTTCTGTTACTTTCACAGTCAGGAACAATTATTAAATCACTCTCAATTATTTCACATAAATTTTGCGATCATTAATGTACTTAAAATCTGCAGGACTTACAGGTAGTATGAGTTTTATTTTTCTTAATATGCTATTTCCTGCTATAATATTTTGTGTCAGAAAAATAAACCTAAGTCAATCATGAGCTACAACAATGTATGTGATGAAATCCCTTGTTTTAATAGGCCTGTTTTTAAAAGTAAGACTCAAGTTAACTATGAGGGACATCACAATGACGGTTCACAGTACAACACTAGTCACAGAGGCATTGCCCTAGGAGATGATATGGGTAAACAGTATTTGGAAATAAGCTACCCAAACACTCCACTATTCATCTTACTTCAAATCATTTCATTAACAAACAACTTGCCTCTCACCAGACCAAAAAAAAAAAAAAAAAAAAAAAAGCTTTAAATGTCAACGATGAGGCCTAGTTACCGGTTGGGTACGTAGAAAAGAGAGAATTATCTCATTTGGAAATTAATTTTCTATCCGTAGTGAAAATTGTTCCAACATCCCTTCCCAACACGAGACTGCCCATTATGTCTCCATAGGTTCCCCCAACACTATGCTGTAAGGGAGTAACTTAAACTCTTCCTCTCGTCCGTACCTAAAGACTGTGGAGGCTGCTTCCCCAAGGAAAAGACGGCAAAGGCCTGGCAGGCAATATCCAGAGTACCCCTAAAAGCGTGGGCCTGGGAGCTGCGCTGCTGCCGGGGATCTAGTTACTACCTTTCCCCTTCCCCCAACCCACTTCCCGGGTTTTCTCGGCCTGCTCCTTCCCCACCGCAGAGTCACACTTCCAGATGTTGCCGCCGCCGCCTCGGGGCTCTCTCTAGAGCTCACGTGCCCCCGACCAGTGCTTCGGCATCTGCCCCCCAAACCCTGTTCCTCCCCAGGCCGGCCGGCCGGCCGCCCGCGAGACCGCCTATCCCAGGGCCCGGGGAGGGGAGGGAAAGGCGGCGGGAGGAGGAGGGGAGACCGCCGCTTCCCCATAGGCAGAGAGGCGGCCGCAGCGAGGCCAGCGGGGGCCCCCGGGGTCGCGGAAGGAAGGGCCCCGCCGCCCTGGGCTGAGATGGGGTGTCCGGTAGCTCATTCCTGACCTCCTCGCTCTTCAGCACCTCCTTGAACTCCCGCTTGATTCGCTGCACCGCGATGTTGGCCATGTCTCTGCCCGCAGCTGATTCGTACCCGCCGCCTCCGCCACCGCTACGACCACCGCCACCGCTGCCACCTCTTCCTCCACCGCCTCCTCCCTCAGTGATTCAGACCCGAGCACACGAACGCTGCCACTGCCACCCTTGCCGTCGCGTTCCCCCTCAGTGTAGAATCACCTCCGCGCCCGGCCACCAAAATGGCGCCGGGTCCGCGCATGCGCACCACGCTGACCCGGGCGGGCGGCGCAGCCGCTCCAGTGGTAGCCCCATACGTCTCAGCAGCGAGCCCGCGCCGCGCCGCGCCGCGCGTCTCAGCCGGGGCTTCGGCCGCGTGGCTCCGCCCTGCCGGCGGCTGGGGCCAGGAGGGTGCGGCTTCTGTGTCGGTCCGCTGGGTCTGGGCCTGCCGGGTCCTCCCCTGTCCCTCTGCCTCCTTTACGGTGAGGCCTCCAGTCCCTAGCCTTGGACCCGAGGTGGGAGCCCCGCCTGGCGGGTTCCTCCGGCCCCAGCCGGGCTGAGCCCCGCTCTAACTCGGCCAGACCCAGAACCCACGGGCTAGAGGTGCCTCCCTGTGTCTAGCCCAGGAAAAAGCTATGCAGGAACTGGGTCCTGCCCAGAGTCCGTTGGTAAACCCCCGGGAGATCCACTGCCGTAGCTTTTGTTCTGGAACCATGATAACGCAACTATTATTCGGTCATCTCAGGTATTACAGATTTTTAAGGTTGTGTAATGGTTGCATCCCACGAGTTGTAATTGATACAGGTGTTGCCAGGGAGAGGCCTGTGATGGGTTTAAAAGCCAGAAGTTAAGTGTTTGACCTGTTTAGATAATCAGTGCTGAACTGTAGAGCTAACATGTTTTTCAAATTTGAACGTGCCTCGGAATCCCTGGAGAGCTGGTTAGATTGCTAGGACCTATCCCTAGAGTGTGGATAGGCCTAAGAATGTGCATTCCTAGCAAGCTCCCTGTTTTTCAGCGACCGTGCTGTGAGAATGGCTGAATTAAGCATATAAAGATCTGTATATATAATAGTGACAGTTGGAGAAATAGAAGGCCGAAAGAACTTTAGACCTACAAAGGCATTTGGCGCTCGTAGATGTCAATAAGCAGTGAGTGAAAATAATTGAGTGGAGAAAGAATAAACGAGTAAAATGTTTTAATTGAGCAATAACTTGGAGAGGCTATTTGAAAGTGGTAAGAGTTTAAAACAATATAGTATGGGTGCTGAGGGTACTTTGAAAATAACATTTTGAAATAATGAAGGTGTTATTGTAGGAGTATGTTTCACGTATTCACCTAATCAATCAGTTCAGTATTCCATCATAAGGCTAATACGAGCTAAGTGTAGTGGTACACGCTTGTAATCCTAGATTGGGAGTCAGAAGCAGAAGAGTCATGGGTTTGAGATCAGTCTAAAAGTGCTGCAGGAACCAAGAAGATTTTTTACTCCCTCTTCTCTCCCTTGCCATGCCCGTTGCCAGCTACGGTTCCCTCATCTGTGAATAAGGAGGCTGTTTAAACTTCTAAGAGTTCAAAATTGTGAAACATCATCTCAAAACCTTTCCCTGCCTGAGTAGACCGACACAAATTATAAAAGATCTTCTAGCAGAGCCCCCTAGTGGTTATAAAGGGGGTCTACTATATACTGAACAACTGAACACTACAAAGGATTGTTGCCATGATAGAAATCTAGAAATATCTAGAAATGCTGTAGGTATTTGTGCCAATACAACCTAAAACACCTTCTCTCCTACTCTTCCTAACCTCAAGAAACATAATGACACTCAAGCAGGGGGAACTAGTTCTAAAGGTCGGATGATTTTTTTTTTTTTTTTTTTTTTTTCTCTGTGTAGCCCTGGCTGTCCTGGAACTCACTCTGTAGACCAGGCTGGCCTCGAACTCAGAAATCCGCCTGCCTCTGCCTCCCAAGTGCTGGGATTAAAGGCGTGCACCACCACTGCGATTTCTTTGAAAGAAAGGGGCTTGATATTTTTTTTTTCTCTGCTGAAGCTTGAACCCAGGGCCTGTGCAAGCCAAGTATGTGAACTATGACTGACCTATAGCTCAGCCAAGCTGTGTGTGTGTGTGTGTGTGTGTGTGTGTGTGTGTGTGTGTGTGTGT